CTCCTAGGATCAAGTGATCTTTCCATCTAGGCCTCCCAAATTGGTAGGATTACAGGCAGATGTGAACCACTGTGCTCGGCCTAAACTCACCCATTTTCAGTGTACAGTTTGATTACTTTGAGTGAATGTATAAGACATGTAAACACCACCACGTGGAGTTTTAGAATGGTTCTATCACTCCAAAATTCCCTCAAGCCCTTTTGCAGTCAATCATTGTTCTGATCCATGCTCTTAAGCAACCACCAAATTGCATTCCGTTGCTATAGTTTGCGTTTTCTAGAATATAAATGAATACAAAGGATAAATTAATATGATAGTACTAATTAGATAAATGAAATAACTTGCTATTGGCTTCTGTCAAGTGTGTTTTTGAAATTCAACCAGTTAGTTCTTTTCTTTTATTGCAGAGTGGTATTCCATGTATAAATATACCCCCTTTCCTTTTCTTTAGAGATAGGGTCTTGCTGTGTTGCTCAGGCTGGTCTTGAACTCCTGGGCTTAAACAATCCTTCCACCTCAGCCTCTCTAAGTGCTGGGATTATAGAAGTGAGCCACTGTGCCTCGCCAATATACGCAATTGTATTAATTCATCAGTGGGTGCACATTTGAGTGACTTCCATTTTGGGAGTATTTTTATAAAGCTGCCATGAACATTTTCAGACAAGCCTTTCATTTCTTTGGGGTAGATAGCTGAGAGTGGGCACTCACCATATAATGCCATTCTGGGTCATATGGCAAGGGTGTGTTTCACTTTTAAAGAAAATGCCTCTTATTTCAAGATATATACTAGACTGGGCTTGGTGGCTCACGCCTGTAATCCCAGCACTTTGGGAAGCTGAGGTGGGAGGATCACCTGAAGTCAGGAGTTCAAGACCAGCCTGGCCAACATGGTAAAACCTCGTCTCTACTAAAAATTCAAAAATTAGCCGGGCATGGTGGCACATGCCTGTAATCCCAGGTTCTTGAGAGGCTAAGGCACGGGAATTGCTTGAACCTAGGAGGTGGAGGTTGCAATGAGCCGAGATTGCACCACTACACTCCAACCTGAGCGACAGAGCAAGATTCTCTAAATAAATAAATAAATATCTACACTACACGATAAACAGATTTTTTTTTTTTTTTTCGTGACGGAGTCTTGCTCTGTCACCTAAGCTGGAGGGCAGTGGCATAATCTTGGCTCCCTGCAACCTCCACCTCCCAGTTTCAAGTGATTCTCCTGCCTCAGCCTCCCGAGTAGCTGGGATCATAGGTGCCCGTCAGCACGCTCGGTTAACTTTTTGTATTTTTAGTAGAGACGGGGTTTCACCATGTTGGCCAGGCTTATCTTGAGTTCCTGACCTCAAGTGATCTGCCCACCTTGGCCTCCCAAAGTGCTGGGATTACAGGCATGAGCCATTGTGCCCTGCCAGAATTTTTTAAAAAATAAAATGCCAAACTGTTTTCCAAAATGACTATGTCATTTTTGCAACCCTACCAGCCATCCATGAGGGTTCCAGATGTTTTCTATCCTCACCAACACTTGGTCTTATGGACCTTAAATCTGATTTTTTCGGGTTTTGGTTTTTGTTTTTTTAGAGTCAGGGTCTCTCTGTCACGAAGGCTAGAGTGCAGTGGCATGATCATAGCTCGCTATAACCTTGAACTCCTGGGCTCAAGGAATCCTCCCACTTCAGCCTCCTGAGTAGCCAGCAATACAGGCATTTTAAAAAATTCTGTGGCGGGGCGCGGTCGCTCATGCCTGTAATCCCAGCACTTTGGGAGGCTGAGGCAGGCAGATCACGAGGTCAGGAGATTGAGACCGTCGTGGCCAATCCAACATGGTGAAACCCCGTCTCTACTAAAAATACAAAAATTAGCTGGGGATGGTGGTGTGAACCTGTAGTCCCAGCTACTGGGGAGGCTGAGGGAGGAGAATTGCTTGAACCCAGGAGTTGGAGGTTGCAGTGAGCTGAGATTGTGCCACTGCACTCCAGACTGGCAACCAAGCGAGACTCCGTATAAAAAAAATAAAATAAATTAAAAAAACTGTAGAGACGGGATCTCATTATTTTGCCCAGGCTAATCTCAAAATCCTGCGCTCAAGCTATCCTCTTGCCTGAGCCTCCCAAATTGCTAGGATTACAGGTGTGAGCCATCACACCTGACCCTGATTTTTTTTAATGGGTGTGTAGTGGCATCTCATTGCAACTGGTTCCTTGGACTTTTAGTCTCCGCTTCTGACTCTTTCTCTCTCTGTGTGTGTCTCCATCTCTCTACATTTACTATATATGTAACATTTCCTCACACACAGATAAATGTGCTCCTGAGATGACTCTTCTTTTCCTTTCACTTTTTTTTTCTTGAGACAGTCTCCCTTTATTATCCAGGCTGGAGTGCAGTGGCACGATCATGGCTTACTGCAGCCCTGACTTCCTGGGCTCGGGCAATCCTCCCACCTCAGCCTCCTGAGTAGCTGCAACTAAAGGCGTGCACCACTAGCCTAGCTAAAAAATAAAAAATAGGCCGGGTGCGGTGGCTCACGCCTGTAATCACAGCAATTTGGGAGGCCAAGGCAGGCGGATCACGAGGTCAGGAGATCGAGACCACGGTGAAACACCGTCGCTACTAAAAGTGCAAAAAAAAATTAGCCGGGCATGGTGGCGGGTGCCTGTAGTCCCAGCTACTCGGGAGGCTGAGGCAGGAGAATGGCGTGAATCTGTGAGACCCTGTCTCCAAAAAAAAAAAAAGAAGAAGAAGAAGAAGAAGAAGAAGAAAGAGAGAGAGAAAGGAAGGAAGGAAGGAAGGAGGGAGGGAAAGAAAAACAGAGGAATGAAGCAATAGCTAGAGGGCAAAGTGGGTCAAGGCAGGCTTTGTATGGTGGCATTTACACAGAAGCTGGGTTTGCAGCTGATCGGAGGGATGCTGCTGCCGAAGAGACAGCCCTCAGGAGCTGGGAGGGGACCAGGGTCTAATGTCCATGGGTAGGTCCAAGAGCTGGGACTAGAGCAAGACAAGCAAGTATAAAATTTAGAAGGCACTCATTCTCAGGTGCTGACCCTCTACTGGTATGACCCCGGGGGTGAGTGACTCTTTAACTTTTATGCCCTGGGTGTCTTGCTGACCTGTCTCACCCTGGTCCTGACCCTGGTAGGCCCATCCGCAATGCTAGGAGGGAGGGCAGACCTAGCTGCAGGGAGTTGGGAAACTTGGCCTTGGGAGCAGATGGAGATCTCGCCTGACAGCATCCACACCTGAAGATAGAGGTAAGATTGCAGGCAGAGAAGAGATCCAGGTGCCTTGATTTGAGTGTTGAAGGTGGAAAGCATGCTAGAGCTAAAATCTTCAGCAAATGATCAAGAGGGTGTGTGGCTGGGGAGTGGCAGGGCTGTGATGGCAACAAGAAGAGGAAGGTGGAGAAGGGAAAGACAAAGGTCTGGAGGCAGCTCTGAAAAGCAAAGCCCACCCCAGGCTGCCGGGATGATTCAGGAAGCTGCAATGTTTTTTTGGTTTTTTTTTTTTTTTTTTTTGAGACAGAGTCTTGCTATGTTGCTCAAGCTGGCCTCAAGCTCCTGGGTTCAAGAAACCCTCCTGCCTCAGCCTCCTGAGTAGCTGGGACTATAGACTTGTGCCACAATGCCCAGCTGGCACTGGTTATTTTTGGCAGAAGGGAAGTTTCATTCTAAAGCCTTTCTCTTCAGCTCTGGGTGCCAGCTGGAGCCCCGGAAGAGGATCTGGCATCGTGTTTAGGCACAACCCTTACTCTGTCCTTCACTGGGCCAGCACATATCTATCCATCCTCCCACCGCCTACTCCCAGCCAGCCATGTTCCTGACACTGAGGCCCAGAAGTGAGTCCTGCTCTCCCTTGGGGTGGGAGTCTCCTAAGCCAGCAGAGAGACAGATGCCCTGCAGATCCCCGCCCTGGTCAAGAGCAGGCTTCCATCAGTTCTGGTTCCAAGTCCCTCCCCTCCCCTCACCTCCCCTGCCCTCCCCTCTGCTCCTCTCCCCTCCCCCCTGCTCCTCTCCCCTCCCCCCTTTCTTTCTCTCTTTCTCTATTTTTCTTTTTCTCTTTTTCTTTCTTTCTGTCTTTTTCTTTCTTTCTCTCTTTTTCTTTCTCTCTCTTCCTTCCCTTCCCTCCCCTCCCCTCCTCTCCCTTCCCCTTCCCTTCGCCTTCCCTTCCCCTTCCCTTCCTTCTTTGTCTTACTCTATAGCCCAGGCTACAGTGCAGTGCCATTATCACAGCTCACTGCAGTCTCGACAACCTGGGCTCAAATTATCCTCTCACCTCAGCCTCTCATGTAGCTGGGACCACAGGCATGCACCATCACACCTGGCTAATTTTTTTATTTTTTCTAGAGATGTGTCTCCCTGCCTGTGTTGCCCAGGCTGGTCTCAAACTCCCGGGCTCAAGCGTTCCTCCTGCCCCATCCTCCTAAAGCACTGGGATTACAGGTATAAGCCACCACACCCAGTCCCAAGCCTCATGTTTTCTCTCTCACACACACACACACACACACACACGCACACACATGAAACATGTACCCTCACTTCAGTGCTATGAGGTGGGTCCTATTATCATCACTGTTCTATTTTCTTTCACATTTCAACATGAGATTTGGAGGGGACAAAACATCCAAACCATATCAAGCCCTCACCTCAGGCCAGGTTGCCTACTCAGAGTGGCACCCCGGGGTCACTGGCCACCACTTCCTCGGGTCAGTGATGTGGTCATCTTGAGATGAAGGCACGGGATTTCATGGAGATCACCAAGTCAGGAGAGCTGGAATTTGAAAACAGTGGGTCGGGAAGGGCTGTCATATCATCCAGGCCTCTGCAGGGCACTCATCCAGCCCTGCCTCTGGCTCAGCCTGAGCGTGAGGCATTGGGTCTAGGGGCTGGCCACCAGCTAGGCAGGGCTGTCCATGGAGGTTATATAGCACAGCCCTTTAGAGACTGGTTGTGCTGAAGGGCAGGGATCTTATTCTACCTTCTGAAGCTTCTGTCCAACTAGTTATAAGGAGAATGGAGACAGCAGTGAGAGTGGAGTCCAGGGTCCTGGTTGGGGTGGCCTGTCTTCTCCTGGCATGCCCTGCCACAGCCACTGGTAAGACAAACCTGCTGGGCCTGCAGAGGGACTTGGTGTGGAGGAGTCAAGATTGAGACAGGACAGGGAGCAGGGGACAGACTGCTCAGGAAAGAGTCCTGTTTGGAGGCTGACCAGGGGTTGTGCATTCTCTCTGGGCAGGCGCTCTGCTCTTGCTATATTTGTTGTTTGTTGTTGTTTGCTTGTTTGAGACGGAGTTTCACTCTTGTTGCCCAGGCTGGAGCGCAATGGCGCGATCTCGGCTCACTGCAACCTCCGCCTCCTGGATTCTAGCGATTCTCCTGCCTCAGCCTCCTGAGTAACTAGGATTACAGGCACCTGCCACCATGGCCAGCTAATTTTTGTATTTTTAGCAGAGATGGGGTTTCACCATGTTGGCCAGGCTGGTCTCAAATGCCTGACCTCAAATGACCCACCTGCCTTGGCCTCCCAAAGTGCTGGGATTACAGGCATGAGCCGCTGCACCGGTCTGCTCTTGCTATCTTGAATGATGGCCAAGGGCAGCCCTGCCAGGGGCCATGATTGTCTTTATGGTTTTTTGTTTGTTTGGAGACAGAGTCGCGCTCTTTCACACAGGCTGGAGTGCAGTGGCGTGATCTTGGCTCACTGCAACCTCTGCCTCCCGGGTTCAAGCAATTCTCCTGCCTCAGCCTCCTGAGTAGCTGGGATGACAGGCACGTGCCACCAGGCCCGGCTGATTTTTGTATTTTTAGTAGAGACTGGGTTTCACCATGTTGGCCAGGCTGGTCTGGAACTCCTGACCTCAGGTGATCCACCCACCTCATCCTCCCAATCTGCTGGGATTACAGGTGTGAGCCACTCCACCCAGCCTTTAATAGTCACAGTGTTTTTGCTGGGGTGATGAAACCATTTTTGTGACTAGAAATGTGGTAGTTGCATAACATTTGGAATACACTAATTGCCACTGAATTGTATGCTTTTTAATAGTTAATTGTATGTGAATTTCACCTCAATTTAAGAAAAAAATCAACATCAGTTCCCCCAACCCCACATCAAGGCTCAGGCACAGCCCTAGTAGGCAAGACTGGACACTGGCCCTGTGTTAGTCCATTTTGTATTGGTATAAATAAATACCTGGCGCCAGGCGAGGTGGCTCATGCCTGTAATCCCAGCACTTTGGGAGGCCGAGGTGGGTGGATCACCTGAGGTCAGGAGTTCAAGAACAGCCTGGCCAATATGGTGAAATCCTATCTCCACTAAAAATACAAAAAAAATTATCTGGGCATGGTGGTGGGCATCTATAATCCTAGCTACTCAGGAGGCTGAGGCAGGAGAATCGCTTGAACCCAGGAGGCCAAGTTTGCGATGAGCCAAGATCGTGCCATTGTACTCCAGTCTGGGCAACAATAGTGAAACAAGAAGGAAGGAAGGAAGGAGGGAGGGAGGGAAGGAAGGAAGAAAGGAAGGAAAAAAGGAAAAGGAAAAGAAAGAAAGTCTTGAGACTGGGTAGTTTATAAAGAAAAGAGGTTTATTTGCCTCACAGTTCTGCAGGCTGTACAAGCATGGTGCTAGCACCTGCTCAGCTTCTGGTGAGGCCTTAGAAAGCTTATAATCGTGGCAGATGATGTCATCACATGGCAAGAGAGAGAGCAAGATAAATGCCAGGTTCTTTTATTTTTTTTATTTCATTTTCTTGAGGCAGGGTCTTGCCCTGTTGACCAGGCTGGAGTACAGTGGTGCCATCACAGCTCAGTGTAGCCTCAACTCCCTAGGCTCAATCGATCCTACTGCCTCAGCCTCCCAAATAGCTGGGACTACAGGCACGCACCACTATGCCCAGATAATTTCTGTATCTTTTGTAGAGAGAGGGTTTCACCATGTTGCCTAGGCTGGTCTTGAACTCCTGGGCTCAAGTGATCCACCCACCCACCTCGGCCTCTCAAAGTGCTGGAGTTACAGACATGAGCCACTACACTTGGCCTGCTAGGCTCCTTTAAACAACCGGATCTTCGTCTGGGCGTGGTGGCTAATGCCTGTAATCCCAGTGAGGGGTGACAACGTGCTAGCGGCCCTCGCTCTCGGCACCTCCACGGACTCGGCGTCCACTCTGGTGGCGCTTGAGGAGCCCTTCAGCCCGCCCGGCACTGTGGGAGCCCCTCTCTGGGCTGGCCGAGGCCGGAGCCGCCTCCCTCTTGCGGGGAGGTGTGGCGGGAGAGGCGCTGGCGGGAACCGGGGCTGCACGTGAAGCTCGCTGGCCAGCGTGAGTTCTGGCGGGTGCAGGCATGAGCTTGGCGGGCCCAGCACACTGAGCGGCCGGCTGGCGCCGTCGGCCCAGGGTAGTGAGGGGCTTAGCACCAGGGCCAGCAGCTGCGGAGGTTGCGCCGGGTCCCCAGCACTGCCGGCCCACATGCACCGCGCTCGAATTCTCGCCAGGCCTCAGCCGCCTCCCCGTGGGGCAGGGCTCGAGACCTGCAGCCCGCCATGCCCAAGCCCCACCTCGTGGTGGGCTCCCCCGCGGCCCGAGCCTCCCCAACGAGTGCCACCCCAGCTCCGCGGCGCTCGGTCCCATCAACCGCCCAGGAGCTGAGGAGTACGGGTGCACGGCGCGGGAGTGGCAGGCAGCTCCGCCGGCTGCCCGGGTGCGGGATTCACTAGGTGAAGCCAGCTGGGCTCCTGAGTCTATTGAGGACTTGGAGAACCTTTATGTCTAGCTAAGGGATTGTAAATACACCAATCGGCACTCTGTGTCTAGCTCAGGGTTTGTAAATTCGCCAGTTGGTACTCTGTATCCAGCTAACCTAGTGGGGACTTGGAGAACTTTCCGTCTAGCACTCTGTCTAGCTCAAGGATTGTAAACGCACCAATCAGCACTCTGTTGAAACGGACCAATCAGCTCTCTTACACATCAGCAGGATGTGGGTGGGGATCAGATAAGGGAATAAACGCAGGCTGCCCGAGCCAGCAGTGGCAACCTGCTTGGGTCCACCTTTCACACCGTGGAAGCTTTGTTCTTTCACTCTATGCAGTAAGTCTTGCTGCTGCTTGCTCTTTGGGTCCACGCTGCCTTCAGGAGCTGTAACACTCACCGAGAAGGTCTGTAGCTTCACTCCGGAGGCCAGCGGGACCATGAACCCACCGGAAAGACCGAACAACTCCAGACGTAGTGCCTTTAGGAGCTGTAACACTCACCCCAAAGGTCTGCAACTTCACTCCTGACAGGGAGACCACGAACCCACCAGAAGGAAGAAAGCCCCAGGAGAATGGAGACAGCAGTGAGAGTGGAGTCTGGGGTCCTTATCCTGGTGGCCTGTCTGCTCCTGGCATGCCCTGCCATAGCCACTGGTAAGACACACGTGCTGGGCCTGCAGAGGGACTTGGTGTGGAGAAGTCAAGAGTGAGACAGGTACAGGGAGCAGTGGGCAGACCGCTCAGGAAAGAGTCCTGTTTGGAGGCAGACCGGGGGTTGTGCATTCTCTCTGGGCAGGTGCTCTGCTCTTGCTATATTTGTTTTTGTTGTTATTGTTGTTTGTTTGTTTGAGACAGAGTTTCACTCTTGTTGCCCAGGCTGGAGTGCAATGGCGCGATCTCGGCTCACTGCAACCTCCGCCTCCTGGATTCTAGCGATTCTCCTGCCTCAGCCTCCTGAGTAGTTGGGATTACAGGCGCCTGCAACCACGCCCGGCTAATTTGTGTATTTTTAGTGGAGATGGGGTTTCACCATGTTGGCCAGGCTGGTCTCATACTCCTGAGCTCAGGTTACCCACTCACCTCGGTCTCCCAAAGTTCTGGGATTACAGGCATGAGCCACCAAGCCTGGCCTGTCTTTATGTTTCAAGGGGGCCTGAGATTTTTTTTTTTTTTTTTTTTGAGATGGAGTCTCGGGCTGTGTCCCCCAGGCTGGAGTGCAGTGGCAGGATCTCGGCTCACTGCAAGCTCCGCCTCCAGAGTTCACACCATTCTCCTGCCTCAGCCTCCCGAGTAGCTGGGACTACAGGCGCCCGCCACCATGTCCGGCTAATTTTTTGTATTTTTAGTAGAGGTGGGGTTTCACCATGTTAGCCAAGATGGTCTCGATCTCCTGACTTCGTGATCCGCTCGCCTTGGCCTCCCAAAGTCCTGGGATTACAGGCGTGAGCCACTGGGCCCGGCCGAGATTTGTTTTAATAAAGTATAGTAAGACAAGCAGATATGCAAATGACTATCAGGAGGGAAGGAGTTTGCTCATAGTTCCCTATGAACAGGAAGCAAGCCATGCCATACAAGGCCACAAAGAGAAGCACCAGGTGGCATTCGCCAGGTGGCAGAGGGAGCAGGGGGGAAATGTGGGCAAGCCCTTTTGCCATGGTTTCCGCGGGAAGGAGTAGGCAAGGCAGGCTAAACAGGTTTATGATTGGCAGCAGGCTCTGGGAAAAGGGGCTATCCCCAGCTTCCTGGTACCTGGCTCTGTGGTGATTATGGCTGGTTGATGGCAGCCAGGAGCTGAGAGCTGTATAAAGGAGATGGTTGGGATGTGGCTCTGGACTGGTTTGCATTTGCTCCCTAGAGAGTTGCCTGCCAATTCCAACTCCCCAGAGAGCTGCCTCCTATCTCCAGGAATTATCTAGCCTGGGAGAGGCAGTCCTCCAGTCTTAGTCTGTTTGTGTTGTTGTAAAACAATACATGAAGCTGGGTAATTCACAAAGAAAAGAAGTTTAATTAACCCACAGTTCTGCAGGCCATATAAGAAACATGGTGGTGCCAGCTGGGCACGATGGCTCACACCTGTAATCCCAGCACTTGGGGAGGCTGAGATGAAAGGATTGCTTGAGCCCCAGAGTTTGAGACCAGCCTGGGCAACATAATGAGACCCCGTCTCTATATTTTTAAAAATAATTCAGGGCTGGGCGTGATGGCTGATGCCTGTAATCCCAGCACTTTGGGAGGCCCAGGTGGATGGATTACTTGAGGTCGGGGGTTCGAGACCAGCCTGGCCAACATGGTGAAACCCCGTCTCTACTAAAAATAGAAAAATTAGCCAGGTGTTCTGGTGCGCACCTGTAATCCCAGCTACTTGGGAGGCTGAGGTCCTAGAATTGCTTGAACCTAGGAGTCAGAGGTTGCAGTGAGCCAAGATCGTGCCACTACACTCCAGCTTGGTCAACAGAGCTAGACCCTGTCTCAAAAACAAAAAATAAAAACAAACAAATGGGCAAGTGGCTGGCCCCAAGGCTCAAGGCCCCAGTGGCAGGCCTGGTCTGGCTTGGAGTGGAGTGGTAGTGACTCTCAGGCAGGCAGGGAGAAGGAAGTTGGGGTCAACCTAAGACTAGGCTCACCAGATTGCTGGGAAGGTTACCAAGGTGCTGTGTGGTAAGTACTGAGAACAGCCCGAGTGTTTGTCTTTCACTCCTTCCCCTCATGGGGGCTGCAAACTCACCCCATGGCCTCTCTGTCCTTCCCTCAGGGCCCGAAGTTGCTCAGCCTGAGGTACGTACCACCCTGGGTCGTGTGTGAGGCCGGCAGGTGGGCGTGAAGGGCACAGACCGCCTTGTGAATGTCATCCTGGGCATTCCGTTTGCCCAGCCACCACTGGGGCCTGACCGGTTCTCAGCCCCATGCCCAGCACAGCCCTGGGAGGGTGTGCGGGACGCCAGCAGTGCGCCCCCTATGTGAGTAGTGCTGGTGGAGGCGGGCAAACCGGCAGGTTACTGGGGGAATCCTGCTACTGGGGCTTGTGGGATTGAACAACTCGACCTCAGGCCCATCCTTGGCCACAGGTGCCTACAAGACATGGAGAGCATGAACAACAGCAGATTTATCCTCAATGGAAAACAGCAGATCTTTTCTCTTTCAGAGGACTGCCTGGTCCTCAACATCTATAGCCCAGCTGAGGCCACCGCAGGGGCCAGTAGGCCGGTAGGCACCCCAGAGGGCCCTGTCCACCCGATCCAGCTCCACTACTCCCACCTTTCCCCTCCCCGTCCCTGTTTCCAAAGCACCCTAGAGGTCCTGAGACTGCCCTGGGCTGGCAGGTGGGCAGCTGAGGTCTCAGGATCTTGGGGGTCACTGCCCCATGGCCACCTCTGCAGGTCATGGTATGGGTCCATGGAGGCTCTCTGATAACTGGCACTGCCACCTCCTATGATGAATCAGCCCTGGCTGCCTATGGGGATGTGGTCGTGGTTATAGTCCAGTACCACCTTGGGGTCCTTGGCTTCTTCAGGTGAGATGATGGGCCTGGCCAGAGCACTGCCTGCACCAAGGAGTGGCCAGCTCACCAGAGCAGCTGGGGATCTAGGCTGGGACCAGAGCCTGAATGGAGGGCTGCTTACTCATGCTGTCTAGGGCAGAGAAGGGTACCCCCAAACCTCCACCCTGGGAGAGTGGTCCAGCCAAAGCCAGAATTATACAGTGAACTTGGTCCCTGTAGAGGGCATTGATTCCTGGGCTGAAGCCCAGGTTCCAGCAGGATATGGGACAAAGAGCAACAGGCCCTGGAGATGCCAACCATGGCTCCCAGTCAGGCCAGACCTGGGGAGCAGAGAAGGGTCTGGCATCCTGGTGGCTAATTCAACGCAAACCTGCAGAGGCTGGCAAGGAGCCAGGCTGAACGAACCATTGCCCCACACTGCCCCCAGCACTGGAGATGAGCATGCACCTGGCAACCAGGCCTTCCTAGATGTGGTAGCTGCTCTGCGCTGGGTGCAAGGAAACATCACTCCCTTCGGGGGTGACCTCAACTGTGTCACCGTCTTTGGTGGATCTGCTGGTGGAAGCATTGTCTCTGGCCTGGTAAGTCACCATAGGGGACTGGCAGTGGTGGCCAGGAGGGCTCCGGTGGTCTCAGAACTCCCAGCCCCTCTGCCCTCATCTGACAGCCACCTGCTCTCTCCACTGCACCCAGGTCCTGTCCCCAGTGGCTGCAGGGCTGTTCCACAGAGCCATCACACAGAGTGGGGTCATCACCAGCCAAGGGATCATCGAGTCTCACCCCTGGCCCCTAGCTCAGGTCTGCATTTCCTTCCCTCTCTTACTCTATGTGTGCCTCCCGTACCCCATTCTGTGCTGGCCCTGGGGTCTCAGAGTAGTGGGGGTTGCTGGCAGGGAACTGCCTGTTAGCAAAGAGGAGCCCACTAGGATGAAGGAGGAACAGAGGAAACAACTGCTGCATTCCAGCATGTGGGCAGTCAGGGAGGGCTTCCTGAAGGATGCCACCCTGAAGCACATCATCGTTGGCCCTTTCTCCAGGGTGGGGTCTTGAGGAGCACCCTTCTCTGCCCCAGGCAGCATGGTGGAGGGGGTCTCCATTCCCAGCCACCTGCTGCCTGAGAGCTCTCCATTCAGGCTCCACATCCCCACCCTACAAACTCATTGTAAGGCCTTGTGAAGAGAATCCAGGGGAAGCCACAGTGGGAACTACATCTGCAAAGGCTGCAGGTGTGGGAGAGAGTGACAGGTCCTGCAGCAGCAAGCTCTCAGGTTAGGGGACAGGGCAGGAAGTGAAGGCACTAGAGAAGTGGGGGCCATGCCTGGGAATCAGGACCATCCCCTGGGGTGGGAGCTACCTAATGTTGCCACCCCAAGGAAGGCCTAGAAGCAATCTGACTCGCCATATGCCTAGGGCGAGTCCTGGTCAGGCTCTGTCTGTTCCTCTGTGAGCCCCAGACCACAACACAGCCAGGCTCCTGGCCCTGGCCCACCTCCTGGACCCTCACCATGCTCTACGACTAACATTAGTACAGGGCTGCTCCTCTGTCCCCATGTGGCTAGCTGGAGGCATACCTGGGTCTTGGCCTGAGCCTGGGGAGTGGGGCTGGAAAGTGCCAGGCCAGAATTCTGGGTAAGAGACAGCATTGGGCCGAGCATGGTGGCTCATGCCTGCAATACCGACACTTTGGGAGGCCAAGGTGGAAGGATTGCTTGAGCCCAGGAGTTTGAGACCAGCCTAGGCAACATAGTGAGACCTCTGTCTCTATGAAAAAATTTGCCAGGCATAGTGACTCATGCCTGTGATCCCAGCTACTTGGGAGGGTGAAGTGGGAGGATCCTTGAACCCAGGAGGTCAGGGCTGCAGTGAGCTGTGATCGTTGCACTCCAGCCTGGGTGACAGAGTGAGACTCTGTCCTTTTACAGGACTAAGGGGCTTCAGCAGGTCACTCCTGGCCTCCAAAGGCACCCTGGAAGGAGAAGAGCTGGGTTTTGCAGGATAACTAGGAGTCATCTGTCCCTTCCAAGACCCTTTGCAGCTTAGTGCTGTGTCAGGAGTCAGTCCTTACACAAAATTCCCCCCACTCCTATCGTTTGTGTTTTCTTCTCTCTCTTTTTCTGTCTCTGTCTCTCTCTCTCTTTCTCTCTCCCTTCCTCCCTCCCTCCGTCTCTCTCTCTCCCTTTCCCTCTTTTTTGAGACAAGGTCTTGCTCTGTCATCCAGGCTGGAGTCTTTGTGTTTTCTTCTTTCTCTCCCTTTCTTCTCTTTTCTATTCTCTTCTTTCTTTCCCCTCCCTCCCTCCCTCCCTTCCTTCCTTCCTTTTCTTTTTGTTTCTCTCTCTCTCCCCTTCCTTCCTGTCTAAAACAAAAAAACAAAAAACAAAACTGAAGCTTATTCTGATTAGGTAAAATGTATGTGGTAAGCCCTAAAACAAACACTTAAAACAATGATGACAAAAACAAAATTAAAAATGCACAGTGAAATAAATCATTAAAGAGATTAGGCCAGGCACGGTGGCTCATGCCCATAATCCCAGCACTGTGGGAGGCTGAGGCAGGCAGATCACTTTAGGGCAGGAGTTTAAGACCAGCCTGGCCAACGTGATGAAACCCCATCTCTACTAAAAATACAAAAATTAGCTGGGCGTGGTGGCATATGTCTGTAATCCCAGCTACTCAGGAGGCTGAGGCAGGAGAATCGCTTGAACTCAGGAGGCAGAGGTTGCAGTGAGCCGAGATCATGCCACAGCTCTCCAGCCTGGTGACAGAGCGAGACTCCGTCTAAAAAAGAAAAAAAAAAAAGAAGAAAGAAAAGAAACCAACAACAGCATTGTCAGTGACTTAAAACACCATCGGGACCAGTTAGCTCATGATATGGGTCTGAAAACTGAAGCCCAGAATGGGCCCTAGGCCTGCCTGTGGTCACACAGTGAGTTATTCTCAGTGAGTTGTGCAAAGCCCCACCCAGATGCAGGCACAGGCCCACTGCCCCCTCCCAGCGGACAGGCCTCTGACTCTTACCCAGGTGGGTGGGTGGTAGCATCTCTGATTCCTTTCCAGGGCTCCGGGGGTTCTGGAGACGCAAACCTGCGGACACCTAGAAGAGGTCTGGAGAAGGGGACTCCTAAAAAGACTTGGATGGGTGTCTTCCCCACGTGCATCTGTTTTCCTTGCAGGGTTCTATATTTGGTGACCACTTGAGGCTTCAGGTATCAGTAGAAAGGTATCAGTAGAGATAGGGTTTCATTATGTTGGCCAGGATGGTCTTGATCTCTTGACCTCGTGATCCACCTGCCTCAGCCTTCCAAAGTGCTGAGATTACAGGCATAAGCCACCACGCCCAGCCTTGTTGTTGGTTTCTTAGAGGAGAGCTCCAGGCAAGGGGGGGGCTGTCACTGACCGTGCCCCAGCACCTGCTGGGGAGCTGTGTTTTCCCGAATGTGTCTGAGGGGCAGTGTTCACTCTCACATCGCCCTCCTGACCCATTCCGGAGCTCTTCCCTCTCTCTGGGGGCTGAGGCCTGAGTCACAGAAGCATAATTGGAACAATGACTGCCCTTTGAAGCACAGGGCTTGGCAGTTTACCCAGAACAAGTGTATTTACTATTTATTCAGACTATTGAGTAATCCACTGTCCAGAACATTCTGTGGCAATCATTAACAATGCTCAGCATCAGTTGGTTAAAGCACAGGGTTTAGAAAAATGTCTGAGAACCTGGATATCAGCTGATATAAAAAGATACAAATACCACCCTAGGTGTCTAGCTGTTAAAAACAGGTTGTTGGCTGGGCATAGTGGCTCACACTTTTAATCCCAGAACTTTGGTAGACCAAGGCAAGAGGACTGCTTGAACCCAGGAGTTCAAGACCAGCCTGGGCAGCATGGCAAGACCCCATATCTACAAAAAAATTTTTAAAAATAGCTGGGGGTGGTGGTGAGCACCTGTGGTCCCAGTTACTCTAAAGGCTGAGGTGGGAGGATCACTTGATCAAAGCCCAAGAGGTCAAGGTTGTAGTAAGCCATGAGTCGCCACTGACAGCACTCCAGCCTGGGCCACAGAGTGAGACCCTGTCTCCAAAAAAAAAAAAAAAGAAAAGAAAAAAAAAAAGAAAGAAACAGGTTGTCCACTGTTA